TATTGTAATTGAAAAAAATTGGCTCGAGGCAGCAAGTGATCCGGAGCCTCGTTTTGGAAAAAATTCAAAATGGCCGCCCGTCTATTTGTGATTTTGCCGATTTCTATCAAAATCTCAAGATCCTCTAACATATTAATGAAAACTGCATAGAAACCTCAAGAATTGGCTTTGAAGTGAATCTTTATGATGAACTGACATTTAACTTGAGTTTCAAATTTAAAACGGCGTAAAACAAGGGTCAGTATTATGACCTGTACTATTAAGTTCATAAATGACATATATTCATCAAAAATAGTTTAACCAAATACTGAGTACTTACATAATATTGGATAATAAGATCTCTTACTTCTACTGAACAACTTGTATAAGAGAATATATTCAGCCACATATCCAAAATAAGAGTGTTATTGTTACAGTTCTAGTTAGATGGTGCTACAATGCGAAAATTTCAACGCTGGGGCAATTTATGTTTGATAAATTGTCGCAATTTATGGTTGATAAATTGTCTATGTTTTACATTTTTGATCACCATCTTTCTCAAATCTCAAATATTTTATCCTTTATTGTTACTCTCACTAATCAGTGCAAAGCCCACTGCACTTACAAAGGTCTGTGCATTTTGCCCAGGCAGCTTTTTTACATGAACAATACTAAGGACGACACCCCTTGCTGCATTGACACTTTATGAGTTCTCTGCATGCTATTGACGCTTGCTGAAGAGTAGACCAAAGTGGAATCACATGATCACCATCATCTTCCAGCCAAACTTCAAATAATCCTGGACACCACTTGGGCGAGGATCCAGTATTTGGCCCCAAACAATCCCTCCTGTGAAGGCCGATCTCCTAATATGCTGCTCCAAAGCTGCCTTAGTCGGAGGTATCTTGTCAATCTGTCTTCCCTTCTTGGTGAAAAGATATTTTCTGGTTGAGTTAATATCAGTTGTTGAACTTGTCCTGTCATAGAGAATAATGACAAAACGTTCCAATAGAGATAGAACTTCTTCTGCTATGTGGTGTGGGTTTTGTTTTAAAGCGAGGAATGCTTCTGTTACTTCTGGATATTTATTCCATACTGTCCAACATTGTTTTTTCCATGGCCAAAGAATGACGATGTGCTATCACACCAAGTAAATGCATGGAAAACAGGGAGACATTCAGATTTGGTAGGTCCAAGAGCTCTTGCCAACTCATGAGCAGACAAATACCTATAGTTTTTCCCAGTTCCAAATGCAACCCATACACTGTATGCTAATACCTAGTTAGGCAGAGGCAGCTACAGCAAGGACCACTATATAAGTATCATTGCATCTGATAAGTATTCTGGCAAACCCTCTTCTAGCCATATGGGCAATGTGGACAAACATTTTGGTATCTTTTTCTTTGTGAGAACATGGCTCCAAGTCATTTGTATCACTAATTGCAGGATTGCAAATCATCTTCTCACCAATGGTGGTCACAATCTGTTTATTTGCATCTAATGGAAGACTTGATAGTTTGTAGGCTAAAATACCAAACAACTGTTGCTTGTTGAAGTCATCTCTCAAGTAAGACTGCCAGTTTCTAGGCACAGTGTTTCCAAGATATGTGTAGGTCATCCTTCTGTCACCTTTCCCACACTTCTGTCATGTCATCGTCTTCAGGCTCCTTGTCAGGTACTCATCCCAAATTATATCGAGGCGATCAACATGTTGCAGCTGACCTTGGATGTAGGGAAGGAAAACATCAGTGGCATAATCCTCAAAGGTCCTTGCTGTTGTTGGTTTTAGAAGGTGTACTGAACATGCACCATCTATTATTTCAGCAACGACAGGCCTATCTGTTTCCCTAGGGACAATATCCACCATGCAGTCAAGTAGCTCTGATTTGTCACCATTTCTGAGGACACCATACTTTGCCAGTGAAGGTGGATACTCCTGGTTCTCATGCATGAAAAAATCATCAAGATCAATGTTTCTTGTCTGGCACTGTGCTTTCATTAACGCCGTCCCATAATGGAGAGGACCCGGTTTTTATTATAGGGACCCCAAACAATGAAAATGAGGGGTCACTTGGACGCAGTGCAGGTCATATCAAAAAATCATCTCTGGATGAATGGATTGATAAAGATCTTACCTTCAGTCTTTTATTTGGTCAAAATCCGCTAAATAAACGAAGGATATTCTATTTCTAAAAGAAATAAAATTATCTTTTGGACTTTCTTTCCCGGAAGTTGATTTCCGATCAATATAGTATGAGGTATGTGATAGGACAATCACTAGTAGTTGATTTCCGAGCGGTAATCGGTACGAGTCCTATGATTGGCCGTGATTATTAATCGCGCATGCGTCTTGATAATTTTGACTAATCAAATTGCTGGATTTGTTGCGCATGCGCAAAAAACTGAACCAAAGAATTGAACCTCACGGAGATTGCTCCTAATCAAACTTTCTGAGCGATCAAAATCAATAGCAAATTGCTTTGAAATACGCGAAGAAAAACGGTATTTAATGGTTGAATATTAGTAACCTCTTTCAAATGAAGGTATCTGCATCATTTAATGACCTACTAGACGTGTGCAGAACACTGATCTGGGCCAAAAAATAACAAAACTGATGCAAACGTTTCATCAATTTTTTTTCGTTCAGTGCAAAAATGTGACATTGAATTCCCGGGAACCTTTTTTCATGCGGACGCACTTTTTTGAGGGGGGACGCAATTTTGGAAAATCAATCCGTCCCAGGGACGCACTTTTGGACAAGCCTACTGAAAGCACTGCTGGCATGTGATGTATAATTTGGAGAATAAATCACAGTCATTTCTCATTGAGATTTCTGATTTGTTCTTACTTATGGGTATTTTGCTGCTAAACATTGCGAGCTTGTGGCATTTTATGGGTGTATCCAATGGTTCAGTTCTCTCCACAAGACGTTCAGTTGTATACTTAGTGAAGCTTTGGTTGCCAATGTCTTCTATACTTCTGATGGTGTCACTTACTGATACATTTACAACATCCTTTGTGTCAATACATCTTGTTAATACATCTTCACCTGACACAAGGAATGGATTGCCTAGTTTATCAATAGTAGTCACAACAGCAAATACATCATCTCTTGATTTCTGTTGGATGCTTGCTGTTTGCTCGTGGTGGCTAAAGTCTTCTTGGCTTTCATGTCTTCTATACTTGAGACTTCTTCAAATTCTTTGATGATCTGGGATATTGCAGGACCTATCATCCATCGTTTCAGTGCAGTAGGATTCTCTGTTATTCCTATAGCCCCACCAGAACCCTTAATCAGATTCAGAGCATTATTTTGCACATGGGCCTGGTCTATAGGGATGGTAGGGAATGAACTGGGTGTCTTCTGAACTGTAAAAGTGACCTTCATTGAAACGCTGATACAGGTCAGGGTGAGTTGTCTCCAATTGGACCATGTCCCTTAGGTGTATTGGGAACCATCTGGAATAGTGTGTATGATCCAATGTAAAATAAAAACAGGGCATCATCTTGGTCAAAGCAGATATGTAGAGTTGCCTCTCTCAGGGATCTAACAAAGATCATAAGCAGCATTTCAAGGCGCCGTGTTATAGCCCAGTATTTGAAATGGGGGGAATTATCTTCCCCTTCCCTTTTCCATTCTTCAAAGGATAGGGGGGCTACATCACTGAGTTCGCCAACAGCTAGGTATATGTTGAAAGTTTTCTTAATTAGGATGTGGATTGCTGCCAACGTAATTAAACGTGCTCTTCGAGTCTTGATTATATGGCTTCCCTTTAGGAAGGACTCTGCAGTACCAACTGATGCTGTATTTGACTGAACAATTCGATTTACCCAACCGCTGTCTGTCAGCCAATCACCAATCACCTTCTGGAATGCCATTTCTATATGGAGACCTCCAAACATGATCAAGTATTTGAGCCTGGCCATTGGAAAACCGGCCTTATCACAAAAATACAGAGCCAAAAATGTGCCCAAGATTAAGAGGAAAATGTGCTAAATTCAAATCCCACTTTTTGGTCTATATATGCAAGGAAAAATTGTTAAGACATAAGCCATGGCTCATTTGAAAGGTCTCTTTGTGTTAAACAAAAAATCAGAATACTGAAAAAAGCTATAATAAGACCACTTTTCCTGTGGCCTGGCTCATTTATCTTCCCCATGTGTATCAGGGTATATCCATTGAATGGTTTTCAGGGAAGCAAACAATGGTTGGTCAGCCGCAAGAACTGGTATTTGACCAGGATTTACTATATGTATGTCACGTTTGACTGTGTCCATACCATGTTTTAACATGGCTAGAGATTTTTTCCAAAATATAAGATATTTAAAATCCCTTCAGTGCAGAGTCTATTCAGCATTTATTCTCAATCATATGTGTGACTCTCATATTGATATGTATAATTATGAGTAACTCAATAAAAGCTTATAAAATAGAACATGGCTTAATACTGAACCTTGCTGAACACCCGTTTTAATAGTTAAATATATTGTAAAGTAGTTCCTTTATCACAAGCAACTGTCTGGAATTCCCTTAAACAAATACAATTGGTTTAGAGCTAAAATACAACATTAATTCAAAGATAATTCAATTTTTTTCTTAAAAATCTATATGTATTGGCGGCCATCTTGGTTTTTTCAGAACGAGGCTCCGGATCACTTGCTGCCTCGAGCCAATTTTTTTCAATTGCCTTCAGTTACACTTGTACCAATTTTGGTGCTTCTATCATAAAAAGAATTATTGTAAGATGATTAGGCTTAGCTATAAGTATTACTAGGATCTTAAACAAAATCCAAAATTCCTAACAAAATGTTTGTAAATATTCTCAATAAATCTCCCTCAGCAAATTTGTTTAATGAAAGAATGTAGTTTCTTGTATCTCTTGTGTTGGATCCTTGTTTACTTTAGACAACAGTTTAAAGGTGAAAGAACAAACTTGATTAGACATATTTCCACCTTGAATTTCACTAAGTATTGTTCATAATTTTGATTTCATTCTATTCATTATCAGTTTATTTAGGACGTTTCGAAGAATTTTTCCACTTGTCGATTTTGGAATTTCTTTGAGAAACTCCACACCACCTCTTAACTTTTTGTGTGGTGCAACTCTTTCTGGAATTAGAGCATGAATATGACATTTAAAATCTGGACCTGGTGCACAAAATATACTGTTTGAAATGGCTGTTTTGGAGTATTTTACCTGTCACTTGATAAATATATGCTCATCTTTGCTGTTTTTGGGGTAATAAATAAATATGTTGGATTCTTTGAAGGATTCAAAAATTAGGAAATTACAAACTATGACATCAGACAAGAACTTACATAGAAACTTAAAATCTGAACAAACCTCCAACAAATTGACAAATCTGCTCCTCTGTTATAGTTGCAGCTGGTTTCTTTACAATAAATGCTTTAGGCAGTTCCCCAGCTACAATATCAGGGACACCCATGACTGCAGAGTCAGCAATATCTGGATGTGTTGATAACAATCCCTCTAATTCTGCTGGTGCAACCTAGAATGTCCATGGAATGTTCTTCAATATACATTTGATATTCAATATTATTGATTATTTTGAGATGCTGATGAACTTCTTTTAAAATCACTTTCTTTCAGTTTTTATGACTAATATGTCAGGTCATGACATCTAAAGAGTCAATAAAAGATATATATATAGTTTTGAGATGCTGATTAACTTCTTTTAAAATCACTTTCTTTCAATTTCTTGTTTGATTGAAGACCTTTGTGCTTTCCAATTACATACCTGATATCCTTTGTATTTGATTAATTCTTTGAGCCTGTTAACCACATAGAAATATCCATCATGATCATAGTGTCCTATATCACCTTAAATGAAGACATATTATAAAAAGTTTTATTTTACTGCTCATTTTGATTAATGGTAATCTGATTTGAGAAAGGCCAAATGCTTCATAGTAGTGTATGATCCATTCTTAATCTAAATTGGTTCAAACGTCATGTTTGTGTATGATATGGATAATCAACAAGTTATTAGTACCAGAGGCTATTTTATGGATTTTGACTCATTTTAAATCAAACCTTCCTTGGAGCCATACCTGTATGCAGCCAGCCATCCTTGTCAATTGTGTTAACAGTTGCCTCAGGGTTGTTCAGATATCCCTTCATAACTTGTGGTCCTCTTACACACACCTCACCATCAATATGAGGACCTAGTGCAATACCTGTGTCTATGTCTATAACCTAAATTCAACATCTCATATGAACATGAATAATATATATTATAATATTCATGTGGTGAAATAAAATGCCTTCATTAGAAATTTGATATACACCAATCAACAGAAAGAAGAATGTGCTGAAACATATAATTTCTTAAATATATCAGTTGCTCAAAATACAACTTACTTTACTTTCTGTATTAGGCAGGCATATGCCCACTGACCCATATTTCCAACCTTTAATAGGGGAAAAATGACACCCTGGAGAAAGTTCTGTCATACCATATCCTATAGTCAAAGTTTACAATATTAGGTTTTACAATTTTGAAATCAAAAAGCAATCATTTAAGACTACTAATTGTCACCTACATTAAGTTTTAGCATCATCAGGGTTTCATATAAGCATAACATTAATGAACTCTTCCATACCAACCTACACACCCTTTTTAGGTCTACATGTATATTCGAAAAGGCCCATATTCAAAACAAATTCTTATTTCTGCACAGATTGACCAGTGATAGATGGTGCTATTTAAACATGTAGATATGAGTGTTTTACATACCTTGAATTATGGTACATTTCAATCTGGATTCAACTGCCATTTGCAATTCTTTACTCAATGGAGCAGAGCCAGAAAATATATCTCTCACGCTTGTGAGGTCATATTTTTCAATCATGGGGTCCTTTGCAAAGAATAACATCACAGGAGGCGCAACATACAGTCGGGTTGCCTGTAAAAAGTAAGATATATATCTTTGTCTTTTAAACTGCCCTTTGAAACCTGCAAGACTACAGTTTAGTGCACAAACCTTAAGGGCATTGGTTCAATATAAATGTATATCATTATGGCAACTGACTAGCAAATATTACATAAGGGACCCAGTCCCTGTGCTATTTTTGACACACGGGTTCAATTTATATTTGTTATATTGTAAGTCCTTACTTTGTATTTTTGTATAACACTCAGATATTGTTCAGCATTAAACCTAGGCATTGTTACAATGGTGGCACCCTCACATAATCCCCCAGCCAAGATAATAACTTGACCGTATATGTGAAAGAATGGTAGAACTGCAATATGACAGTCTCCTATTAGAGTAGGTAGAAAATAGGGAGTACCTCTGAAATGTATCATACCAATCAATGAGAATTTTCAAATACATTTTCATATGAATAATAGTGTTAGTTTATTGTGAAGTATTTTACATGATAACATGCACATATTTTCATATCATGCATTTTTGGTATTTAAACTACATTAGAATACTCAGGAGTTTGTTAAAAGTTTAAAAAATTAAATTATTTGAATATGAATGTTACTCAAACAAATAGTGGCTTACCTAAGCTGTTGTATGTTTGCAACTAAGTTGAAATGGGTGAGCATTACACCCTTGGGTAGCCCTGTAGTGCCACTTGAGTATGGTAGAACAGCAATATCTTCTTTTGCATTTATTGTGGGCAGTTTGAAAGCATCACCTTTGTCGCTCAAAAGGGCATTGAAGCAAATGCAATCAGACATATCTCCATTACCAAACACTATGATTTTCTGAAACAAATTCCTTGAAAATTAGCAAAGGGATTATCACTATTGTAATATGATGAATTGCTTGTTGTATAAACTGATCTTCAATAACAAGTCCGATTGACAAATTATTTCGAACCTATACCACGCTAACCTTTTCTCAACCAATCAGAGATCTGGAGGGAATATATGCTATATGTGTGCTCATTAAATCTACGATGATGTCAGGCGAGTATAGAGTCAACTTTTTTTCGACAATGATTTCTGATTTGCTTGGTGAGTTTAGAAAATTGCAAACTTAAAGATTGACGAGAAAGCTCTCTTTAAAGAACTAATGCAAATGTTAAGTGTTGCTATATTTTATTTATGCGTTTTTAACAGTTGCTATCATGTTTGTTTGATGTTTCAAATACTGTATTTAATGTTTTATTGGTCTATGTCTTTGTACCTTGAGTTTAGTGTACTTTTTGGCAGCCTGCTTGACTTTAGACACAAGTTCAATAGGTGTAGCAATATATGTTGCATTTGCATCTTTCAGTTGATGTTGAATCTCATCTGTAACACACAATCTCAGCTATAGTAATAATTAATGTTAATAAATGCATATTTATAGAGGACTTCTTTTTCACTTTTTAAGGTTCTCCTACCAATCATACTAGGTTATGTCATCATGCAACATTGATAGGAGGGAAAGTGAGAGGAAATTAATAAACACAAGGAAGATAGAGGACAGACAGGCAGACATAAGTGAATGACATCATTCCATGACCAGGTTAAAATTTTGATCTAGTCTCATTTTAAAATTGATTACATTTTAGCATGTTTTTCATTATCCCTCTTACGCTAAATTTCGATTCAAAGTCAAAATCACACCTTTTAATGATCTGGGATTGCATCAGTATAGTTGACCTTCTTTTTCTATGTTTTACAAAAAAATCAGATTAATTTATATATCATGCCAGCTTCATAAATTAAATGTATTTTCATTTTAAAATTATGTAGATAAAAAATACTTTACATGTAGTATATAATGGGTTTGCAGATGTGGCAATCCCTCCAATAGCTAAAACTGCAAAAAATGTTATGGCCCATTCAATACTGTTTGGGCCATAGAGACAAAGTATATCTCCTTTTGTAAATCCTAGTTTGATAAAAGCACTTCCAACACACTCAACTGCATTTATAAGTTCTGTGTATGTGTAAGATCTACCAGATATGCCATCAACCTGAAAAGAGAATATGGAAGAAATGGTTGCAGGGAATAATGTTTTATCAAGAACTATCTAAATATTTTATATTGATTTTCTGCATAATGTAGAAATGCAAAACTATAACATAACAAGCTCTTCGGATGCTTTGTGGTGCAAATTCACGATTTTTACTGAAAACAGTTGTATGTCATCAGGAAAATATGAGGTAGGAAGATCGGACACTAAATGAAAAAAATTAAAGAACTGATTGCTGTAATTTAATGACAATTCCATGGGGATTTTTGAGAGGGGTACAGCTGATGCACTACAATGTACCCTTCCCCCATCTTATTGGTCTGTAAAATCATGAAAAACGTCGAAAATGTCCTAATTCACCATACTTACAATAGCAATCTTTCTTGGAAATTCCCTTACTCTCTGGAAGACTCTATCATAAAATGACTGATTTTCTGGAATCTTGACATCAGTATATGGACACCTCACAATGTTATTCATGTCTGCCATTATATGTGCTGTAAAATTATGCATATTAGTCCTTTTAATCTTAAGTGAATGGCATGGAGTAATTAACAATCATAGTAAGTGAATATGAGTGTGCCAGCAATTCTTTAGATTATGAAGCATTTCACTTTCAACATAACATCATTTGTGCTGTACTGATATTGATAATATATATGTTCTAGTTATTACTGTATTATGTTTGCAAGTATATAGCTGCTCTGCCACAGTTCAACTAAGGCCATAATATACTACAAAAATAATTTCTTGATGCTGCATACATACCTTTATATCTGTATACCTTAGTTCAACATTTGTGTTTACCATTAGAGCGAGGTAACCTCTACATTCTATCCCTCTTCTGTAGTTTGAGGTGAAATTAATGTTTACTATAGACTGTTAGCAGATCACGTGACATTGTTGTTTTCATGGCTATGTGGTATAGAAAAAGTAGTCTGTTTTTTCACAGTATGGCACAACTTCACCGTCTAAATTAAATGCTTATTTCTGTTTGGCATTTAAAAATAGATTACTATTAGGAGTGTTAGAAAATGTTTGCAGACAGAGTACAACTTTAATAGAAGAATATTGAAATTATTGTTTTGGTTGATTAATAAAACAACATTCCACATGTTATTTAGTCCCAAAAATTAATGCCCGAGAATGTAGCATACTATTGTGTTGTACTTATTTCAGGTCCATTCTCTTAGTAAATGCCTGCAAATTAGTCTTTACCTAATGATATGCTTTTTAATGGGTTTTGAAATCATATGGTTATAGGGCCTTTATGATTATACATCTTCTGTTGTGCGACACATTCACGCTTCATCCTAACCTTTATGGCTTGATAACTTTTTGACTTATAGATGTCAGACTGATATTACAGTTAGATGCATGTAATATTTTGGAATTAATGCCTCAGTCACATTTGCTTTCAGTGAACATGTGGCGGTCTATAGCTCCCCAAAAATTGAAAAATCACCTACCATACAGTATGTGACCTATGGCTGCTGGAGAACTTAAAGGTCGTCCAAAGGCTGGTGTGCCCCAATTTTTACCATCAAGATACCATGGCATATGTGACTGCTAAAGTATGTGACCATGGAAATTCTACGGCAGATGTAGGAATACTGTTGGCCATAGAAATATTAATTGTGACTGAGGTATTACTTTATTTTCATTCTCGCAGACTCACTGTTTATAAACCTTGCGGTTGATCCTTGGCACATCTTTTTTACCATTTGCTATTACATCATCATTTATTTTTTTCCATTGGGGTAGTAATGGGTAATATTATAGAATATTATATTATAGATATTTATTTTGTTAACTAAATTCTAACAAAATTTACTACAGTGTACAGCCAAAACAATTTCTTCATATTTTATTTACTGAATTTAAAGACATTAGATTCTTGTTCAGTGTAAATAGAAATAGGATAATGTGTTTTTATTTGTTAGTTATTGTAAATAATACTGCTTCATGTAGGTTCATTATTTATACAATTTCAAAGAAACACTAACATATTATATGGTATGTAGGAATATCATAAGTTTGATTTCATTGATCATAATTTAGATTTCATTCTGTCTCTAATCATCTGTTTTAAGGTCCTTCGAAGAATTTTTCCACTTGGTGATTTTGGTATTTCGCTAAGGAACTCCACGCCACCTCTTAACCTTTTGTGTGGTGCAACTGATTCTGAAAGGAAATTAGTAAGAGCATGATAAAACCATAAATAGTCCAAAAATAAATTAATTATGAGATCATACTGAACCATGAGGCTAAAACTGATTGGAATGTGGTCTGATAAGCTTATAACTTCAGTAATACAGTTAAAGTGACATCTTTATGTTATTTCATACTCTATCATCACATGTAGAGCCAGAATCAGAGATATACATAATATAAAGGATGACAATATTGCAAGCAATATAAGTTACCCTTATGGACAAGAATGTGTGGATCCCCCAAATAATAAATATCGATGTCAACATTTAAAGAAAAAAAAGTATGACAAGGAATTAAATGATGAGCCAAAAATATTCTGATGTTTGTAAACATTGTAAGTTAATCATTATATCTGATTCTGCCTTTTAAAGTGCTCCCAAACTACAAAATTGGTTTAAGGATTGAGGTTAATTTGTATTAGAGTATTAAAAATATCTACACAAATGTTATAAATAATTCAGTACTATATCATATGACAAAGAGTTAAATGAATGAAATTAATTCTCAAAGATAATCCACCCATGGAATGATATTGGTGTCAGTAATAAAGGTGTAGGTTTCTTATAAGGAAATTAGTCCAAGATATAGGCCATAAAACATTTGTATTAAACCTTGCAAATGAAACATCTTATAAATAAACCCATACATCCGAGCGCTCTTAGGCCTGAATATGCAAGACTAAATGAGAAAACTAAGACAGCAATGAAAAAACAGTAAAAACAGTAAAAGTCTGGAACACCTATGACTGCAGAATCAGCAATATCTGGATGTGTTAACAACAAACCTTCTAACTCTGCTGGTGCAACCTAGGGTATGAATTGTATATTAAGGCTTTTTACACTTTTCTGTTAGTGTTAAAGTGTCTGTAGAATAGAATCTAGCAGCTCATAAACAATTAAGATGGATCATGGCAAAAATAATAAGAAAGTGACATTTTGATAGGTTAATTTGGTATTTAAGTCACAGTCCTTTTAGGTTATGAAGAAATCAACAATGAAATATTTAAGCATGAGTACCGAAGGGAGAGGGCCAAAAACCTAGCTATAAAAGCAAATATAAAACATACCTGAAATCCTTTGTATTTCACAAGTTCCTTGAGGCGATCTACCACATAGAAGTGTCCATTGTGATCATAGTGTCCTATATCACCTACAATAAATGACTGATGTTATATCAACAATTCATTTAAGGGAATGAGAAAAATGACTACATTGACCTGTCAGGCAGATTTGACTGAGCATGAACTGATTTTCAGACCAACTTACTTCATTTTTTGGTCATTTTTATGCTCCAATCATAAGAATTTGGTGAACATTAATCAAGTTTTAATTTACTAATGGAACATCCCAGGTCCTTTTTAATAAGTATAATATTACATTTCAGAACATTTAAGGGGGGTGATTGCATCTTTGATCTTTTTAACAGGAATACTATGACATTAATCAACTCCTAAATCATTCCATTTCAGCAGGATTTGAACCTGACACCTTGATCTTAACATATTGTATATTTTCTTAGTGTGCCATTTTATTTTTTCTCATTTCATGTGATCTGTTTTTAATCTCTTTAATTACATTTTCAAGTTTATGAAAATCATGTATATTTACAGTATTGTTATTTATAAAATAATATTTTATCATGTCATCATATGAAAGGCCAATCAAATGAACAAGAAAAGCTCGTGAACATTATATACATTAGCAGGCCCGTAAGACACTTTTCCCTAAGGGGGGTGCGGTTTTTACTAAAGAGAATATAAAATTGTAATTTTTTTGCCGCGTAAATCAAATCGCGTAAGTCAGAGGGGGGTGTCGGTTACTCCCTATATTGGTTTGGAATTAACTAATGCAACTTCCAAATGTTCCAATTGTTTTGTGGGGGGGGGGTGTGAGGAGTGGTCCACTCCCCATAGAAAAATTTACAGTTTTGAGATGCTATTTGGTGCTTTCTGGGCACTTTCAAAGTGTATGAGTCAATAAGATTGATGTGAATTTTTTTTCAAATTTTTTTAGGGTTGTCAAAGAGGATGAAGTGGGGTGGGGTGCCAGAGGGGGAGCAAGGGGCTGTCCCCCAGAAACATTGACCATATCAAGGTACTATTTGATGATGTCTGAGACAATACATGAAATTCAGAATATTTTCTTTTGTTTTGTGGGGTATGTGAGGGGTGGCTAACTCTCCTAGAAATTTTACAATTAAAAGATGATATTTGGTGCTTCTGGGCACATTTAAAGTGTATTAGTTAATAAAAACATTGAAAAACAATCACAATTTTTTTATCTTATCTTATCTTTTTCAATTTTTTTTTGGGGGGGGCTACCAGAGGGGGAGGTGGAGTGGGGATGCTAGAGGGCGAGTAAGTGTTAGTCTCCCAGAATCATTCACTATATCAAGGAGCTATTTGATGATGTCTTGGCAATTTAAAAGTGTCTGAGGCAATACATAAAACAGATTCAGAACTTTTCCATTGTTTTGTTTGGGGTGTGAGGGGTGGCCCACTCCCCCTAGAAAATTTTACAATTTTACGACGCTATTTGGTGCTTTCTGAGCACTTTCAAAGTGTATGAGTCAATTAAAGAATTTGAAAAAATCACAATTTTTATCCAATTTTTTTTTTGGGGGGGGGTCAAGGGGGGGGGTGACAGAGGGGGAGGTGGGGTGGGGATGCAAGTGCAAGATGCAAGAGGGGGAGCAAGTATTAGTCCCCCAGAAACACTAACTGTATCAAGGAGCTATTTGATAATGTCTGGGCAATTTAAAAGTGTCTGAGACAATACATAAAACAAATTCAGAACTTTTCCATTGTTTTGTTTGGGGTGTGAGGGGTGGCCCACTCCCCCTAGAAAATTTTGCAATTTTACGACACTATTTGGTGCTTTCTGGACACTTTCAAAGTGCATGATTCAATTAAAGAATTTGAGAAAATCACAATTTTTATCCAATTTTTTTTGAGGGGGGAGGGGGGGGGGGGTACCAGAGGGGGAGGTGGGGTGGGGATGCAAGTGCAAGATGCAAGAGGGGGAGCAAGTGTTAGTCCCCCAGAAACACTAACTATATCAAGGAGCTATTTGATGATGTCTGGGCACTTTAAAAGTGTCTTAGACAAAACACTAAAATAAATTTAGAACTTTTCCATTGTTTTGTGGGGGTGTGAGGGGTGGCCAATACCCCTAGAAAATTTTACAATTTTAAGATGCTATTTGGTGCTTTCTGGGTACTTTCAAAGTGTATGAGTCAATGAAAATTTTTTTTTTTTTCAAATTTTTTTTTTCAAATTTTTTTTGGGGGGTGACAAAGGGGGGTGCGGTCGCACCCATCGCACCCCCCCCCCATCTGACGGCCCTGATTAGTGCCCATGTCTCACTACATTATATACCATAGATGTAGATTTAGTACCTGTATGCAGCCAACCTTCTTCGTCAATTGTGTTAGCAGTTGCCTCATAATTGTTCAGATATCCCTTCATAACTTGTGGGCCTCTTACACACACCTCACCATCCATATGTGGACCAAGTGCAACACCAGTGTCTAAGTCAATAACCTAAAGGAAAGATAATGGGGTATTGTTCATGCTTTGTTTGTCACTATTTATCCAACATTGCCTCTTTTATTTGGTATTATTGTTGAGCATTGTCAATTGTCTTTTCAATTACTTTCTGGTTCATATTAGTTAATTTCTATGTTATAAGGCTTAAATGTAGAATGTGATAATTTGAGAATTAGAGACTGAGTCAATCATATCTTACTTTACTTTCTGTGTTTGGTACACATATTCCTGCTGCCCCATATTTCCAGCCTATCTTAGGAGAAATATGGCTTGTTGGAGATAGCTCAGTCATTCCATAGCCTGAAATCATAGTAAATAAATTTTACCTATACATAACCATAATAACTAAATGAATATTCTAAGTTCAGGTGACAAAATGGACCTGCAACCTGTAGGTTTAGATCTTTGATTTCTATTGCCTATAGTTTTTGAACAAGGTCATCATCCCAGAATGCTCAGACAAATTCACAACCACAAATTTACAACCACATAATGTTGATGTGAAATACTTGATTTGTTCACTATGAATCAATTGACTTATGGTTTAAATAGTCTTTGTTTTCTTAATTTGTAGATATTGCCCTATTGAATTCTGTTTTGGAATGAAATCTTCAATGTGGAACCATTGCACTTTGATTTTAGTATGTATTACATGTACCTTTTATTTATTTTAATAAATTAAAGTAATTTTTATCCCACCGAACGAAGTTCGAGGGGGATATAGGAAAGCCTTTCATTCACCTAGGGACAAAAAGCTATGCTGAAGAAGAGTTTTTCAAGATGGCTGCTGAATTTCAAAATGGTGGCCGTTTTTCTTAAAAAACATAATCTTGAATAACTCAAATACCAGTGAATGGATTTGGTTCAAATTCTATATGGTGATGCCTAGAGACAAAGTAGATTTGTTCAAGAAAGAATTTTCAAGATGGCGGCTGAATTTCAAAATGACCGCCATTTTTAATAAAAAATGTAATCTTTGATAACTCAAATAGTAGTTGAAGGATTTGGTTCAAATTTTAAATGCTGATGCCTAGGGATAAAGGAACTACGCTGAAGAAGAGATTTTTAGAATGGCTGCTAAATACCAAAATGGTGGCTGATCTTTGATAATTCAAATACCAGTTGAATAATTTGGTCTAAATTTTATATGTTGATGCTCAGGGACAAAGAAGCTACCCCGAAGAAGAGATTCAAAATGGCTGCTAAATATCAAAATGGCAGCCGTAATCTTTGATAACTCAAATAGCAGTGAATGAATTTTTTTGAAATGTTATATGCTGATGCATAGGGACACAGTAGCTCTGTTCGAGAACAATTTTCAAAATGGCTGCTGAATTTCAAAATGACTGCCATTTTTGTAAAAAATGAATGTAATCTTTGATAACTCAAATGCTAATTGATGGATATGGTTTACATTTTATATGTTGATGCCTAGGGACAAACAAGCTCTGCTCAAGAAGGAATTTTCAAGATGGCCACTAATAAGCAAAATACGTTTTGTTCAGTGGGATTTGTTACTCCGTGTTTTCTAGTTATCTCAGTGTCACAGTGGTTTAATGTATTTACTTTTTCTTCTTGTTGCCCTAGCATTCTCTTATTTGTACTTTCAGATTCCTACCTTGTCTAAGTTTGCATTTTAATCTTGCTGTAACTTCCTCCTGCAGTTCCTTACTCAATGGGGCAGCCCCACAGAATATTTCCTTTACACTAGAGAGTTCATATTTATCCATGCGGGGGTCCTTTGCCAGGAATAAAGCCATGGGTGGAACTACAAAGAGTCTTGTTGCCTGAATATGAATTAAGGAAATGTAAGTATGTTAACCTAATCTAAATAAATAGTGTCATCATTTTTTGCCTGAGGTGAAATGTAAGGATTATTTTTAGTTGAACATTCACATTATTCTTTATGGCATTCTCTAAGGATGTTACAATAACAAAAAATCGATTAGAAAAGATTCATGCACAATATTTTCACAAATGGATTTCTGCCAACCAGATGTCTGCTTTTAGGTTAAAAATTAATGTTAGGATACCACAATTAGGTCAAGAAGAAAAACTGAGTTTTTGCTGATGTGTGAATCAAGTACAGTATAAGTGTGGCAATTTAGAAGGTATCATATGTCAGTGGGAAAAAAATATAAATTAAGCCAATATTTTCTAGGTGAAAGCACTCTATGTAATTGTAATTTTAAGGCAGAAATAAAGCAAATAATCATAACAATTACATAAAAATGTCATTACTGATAACTCAATTATTAGTAGCTGGCTAGTGCCCTCGGGAGAATAGGACCTCTACACATGAAAGGAATTTCAGTATGGTGGCTTAAAAATATAGTAAAGAATGGTCACCATTATTAAATGTATTTTCGGCTATACTTTAAACACCTCTTTATCTTTTTGAATTGTTTCTAAGATTATACTACTTCATAGATTCATATGCTCTGTTCAAGGAAATGTGTTAAATACTTTGCATGTTTGATTGATTTATGAAATTTTAAATATTAATGATTGTATAACAAGTCTACATTAATGATTTTCTGTTTTACATTAATTATGGAATGTGTATCAATTGATGAATGGAACATCAAGTGACAAATTCATCTCCCCTGACTGATAGATTCCTTGTTCTGACTTGTTCGCAGAGAGTTTTAAGGATTAATTCAAAAGTCTCTCGACATTGTCATCATAAATAAATCTAAAAGTCATTATATTGTAGCTATATGGCTAGTGCTAACCTTGTATTGTTGTATTGCATGAAGGTATAACTCAGGCTCAAATCTTGGCATTGTAACAATAGTTGCGCCATCACAGAGTCCCCCAGCTAAGACATTAATTTGTCCATAGATGTGATAGAATGGCAGTACTGCAATATAGCAGTCTCCTATATGACTGCTGAGGAAATATGGTGAGCTAGATTAATGAAGAAATAATAATTAAAAACATTCTTAGTGTTATGACCAGCAAAAATGTGCAGGAAATTGATTGCAGAAAACCATCACCAGAATTGTTTTCAATAACCTTTAGTTTTTTTAAGTTTTTTTTAACTGATTGAAACAATAAAGGCACCAAATTGTTTTAAATGAAAATGAAATGGTACATGAAAAAACAGAATAACTTGAAATTAGACATCATTTATCAAACAAAGCTACATGGTAAATAATAAATAGTCAAACTAAGTAAAGGTCTATGTGAAGTATGGCAAGTGATTTCAGACAGTCATATATTTCACCATGAGTACTTTCTGGGCATAAATACAGTGTGTTACAATATGTTTTCTTTCAAGTGAAGTCCCCATGATGATAAAAATATCAATCGAACAATTCGAAAAATTATAAATAGGGACCCCAGGTCAACAATTCTTTCAAAATGTTGAACTTATTTGGTCAAAAGAGGATCTTCTTTTTCTGATTTTTATTGCATGAAAACATTATTCAACAAGGAGTCTTAAACATCTTCAAAAGTAGAATGGTATTGAAAGTCTAGTTTTGAAGATATCCATTTTCGATGACCAAAATCATGCTGAAAACAATGGATAGCATGAGCTTTCCCTATGGGAAATGTTGTTTTTAACTTAACGCATTTCAATACCCATCCCCTTTTCAGAAGTTATTAATATAGTGTAGAAGAAACTTCTGATACATTTAAATTGAGAAAAACAAGATCCTCTTTTTAGAAAATAAGCCTTACATGTTTTAAAAAGTGACACGGTAGGGTCCTAATCCATAATTTTTCAGAGAGTTGGATTGATATTTTACTATCATGGGGATTTCACATTGTTTCAATAAAAACCACTGTATTTATACCCAGAAAATACTCATGGTGAAATATATAACTGTCTAAAATCACTTGCCATACTGCACATGGACATTTAAGTCAGATAGAAAAAGAAAGTCATTAGACTTCTAAGAATGTTTCACATATGATGGCTCAGTCATATTCAAGCATAACTGTATAATATATGGTTGTTTTATGGCTAATTAGAGCCTCAGATTATGTTTGATTTATCCTACATGCCATGTTAAAAACAAGGGGTTTTAAAGGATTAGACAGTTGATCATCAGGTATATTCATTGTCTTCTTTTACTCATCCTAAGATAAATGTCACTCTTGTATTATATCTCTGGTTTATTATTCATTCTTATTTTTTGCCATTTAAATAACATGGGTACTTAGTGATTGTCTTTAGATCTATAAACATATTATATGCTAGGATACCAGCAGAAGTATGATTTGCGGTTTTGAAATAAATCCATGCAAATAAAAAATGCTGTGACTGTGATACACATTAAAAGGTGCCAATTAAAACAGAAAATAAAACAGAAAGTATCACATATCATTGATTTTGTCACATACTTGAGGATAATTGCTCTATGTTTTAACCCCATTAAAACATAAAACAGCTTACCAAAATTGTTGTATGTTTGCAACTAGGTTGAAATGTGTGAGCATAACACCTTTTGGTAGCCCAGTAGTACCACTCGAGTATGGAAGAGCAGCAATGTCTTCCTTTGCATTTACTTTTGCTGCTTTGAAAGCATCACCTTTGTCTTCCATGAGGAGATTAAAGCTTATACTGCCTTGGGTATTACCATTACCAAATACTATGACTTTCTGGAAAGGTGAGTTACCAAATTAAAAACTGTATGATAAAGCAATTTGTGCAAAATAAGCTAAAATTAAATATGTAAATACCAATATACTATGAAAAAATATTTACAAGCATTCTTCTGCAGGTACATGTACTTGCTTTTTGGCTGTTCAAATATTACAGAATGTTCAGAGTTAACTTATAAGGTATTGCACACAGTAAAATTTATTAAAACCCATTTTGAAAGTTAAGAAGTTGAATCATGTACCATTTTAAAAGATATCAATATTTGATATTTTCCAGCATTTTTACCACCAAACTATTGGCTTGAAATTATCATTCAACGCTTGCATCTAATTGATCCCTAATTATAACACTACCTTAAGTTCAGTGTACTTTGTTGCAGCCTCTTGGACCTTAGGCAAGAACTCAGCTACAGTTGCAATATACGTTGCTCCAGCATCTTCCATCTGATGTTGAATCTCTCCTTTAACACAATTACCAAAGTGCCAATAAGTATCAACAGACACTTTTCATGATTTTATAACATGGGATCTATGGAATCTACTGACCTAGAATTCGCATATTCCATGGGATAATCCCTCAAGCAATTTTCCAACTAGATTATTTGAAATAATTGATTGCATATAGTTCAATCCTTATGCTAATGGGTATTCAATAAATGTGTAGTAGTATAGTATTGTTATGATAAGCAAGGTGACAGTGTTGTGAGTTTCTTTGGATTTTATCTTTACAAAGCGTTAATTTTTCTTTATCATTAGATTATATTAAGAGAGGGGTTTAATTGTTTTGATTCCATCATTTTAAGATGAAACTGTAAAATAATGTGATAAAATTCCCTTATTGTTTTAGATACACAATCTTTTGTCATCCCATTAAATGAAGTTTGGGGGATAAAGAGAATGAGTTCATATGTCCTACTACTAGAAATGAGCACTGCATTTCTAAATGATTAATTTTGAGCATATCAAAATGATTTCTTCATATTTTGCTAAATATGAATAGTAGGCTATATAAATGGTTATAGCTACATCAAGAAGGAATATTCCTTTAATATAATGTGTCCATATGTTTGGACTTCATCCTTATGTCTAAAGTTATTCATTTGTTTGAGATTTGTTGTGTCTGAATGTCAGACTTATTCTGGATTGACCAGTTTGTAAGATGACAGATATGGAGACCAAATGCGATTATTGCACAGATTCCAATTGACAGATAGTGATATTAAAGGCTTTAGACTTTCTAACTACTGTAGCTTCTACTGTTGTCAGAATCATCCTTCTATAAGTATAAGCTAGCAACAAATTAAGGCATATTTCTTTTCTTCATAAATATTAGATATTTAAATTCACAGTTGTTGTCTTAAGTTGCTGAGGGTTTGTCCCGCTCTAGGCTTTTAAGCAACTCTCTGCCAATAAATCATGAATAAGTCTAGCAATTCTGGTACTAGATTGTGATATTGGCTCTCAAATGGAGGGGGAAGGGGGGGGGTGTTAGACATTATTTAGTTTGACATTAGATAATTTTTTGCATTGTATAGGCTATATCTTTCTTATGACAATTTTACACTTAGAGTTTTTGGTCCTCTCCCTGTGGCACTTGTGCTTAGATATCAGTATTTTAGGAGTTAGATTTAAACTCAGGTTGTTCCTGAAAAAAGCAATACTGTACCTTATTAAAGGTCAACATCAATGTATTACAGGAGACTTTCAATAGAATAGGAAATAAAGACTAAGATTACTTAATAAGAGATGTTAAAGGGTGACACATATCGTTTAGCAAATCAACGCTTGATTCTGGTGTTGATCACTGTTTAGTATAAAAGCCCTGATCCCGGAATAATACTCAATGGTTCACAGGCTCGAGGTTGTTGTGTCAACACCTCTAACTGTTATATAGCATGAGTATATTATTGATCGTCACACGTTTATAAAAGGGAGATTTTTATCAATTTCACATTTATGGGTGAAGTTTCGGGATCTTCTATTTGTCTATAATAAGGAAAAATTGACATCTAAATTTCCCCATAACGTATTGTTACACAGCTTGGCATATGAAATATTTTCCAAATGAAACAAAGCAGTTCTAATACAAGGTTTTATATTGGCTGTTGCACATGTATTCTTTGAACAATCACTCTCTCAATAATGTTTTCAGAATCATTATAAACGGATTCCTTTATCTCCAAGAAAATTTAAATTAACTGAATTTTACAAAACTCCCCTTATTTCAAAACACAGTAAATAAGATCAAAATCTAAAAGTATAACCAGTCATGAAAACAAACCCCCAATATCCCAAACTATGATATACACCCCCATTTCAAAATCTATTTCACAAAGCTATGTACAGGGTGTCAAAAAAATATGTTCTCTCCTCTTAGATTTAACTGACCCACAAAATGTGGCATACCTTTTATGGCATTATATCTGAATTTTTCTTTGGCATACTAAAACTAGGCTTCACGGAGCTACTACTACAAGAAGTTCCAGATGATTAACTCAAACAGATGCACCTTTAAGCACAAAGTTCATACTTTTAAAATTTGGGGGAGAACATATTTATCTGACACCCTGTATACAATTCATTAATAATTTAATAAATAAAATCAACAACCAACATTTGAATCAATGCACAACTGTATGGTATACCTGCTGTGTATAATGGATTTGCTGTAGTGGCAATTCCTCCGATGGCTATAACAGCAAAGTATGTGATAACCCATTCTGGACAGTTGGGGCTATAGAGACACAGAACATCCTTTTTCTTGAATCCAAGTTTTGTTAGGCCACTTCCAACTCGTTGGATTGCTTCAACAAGTTCATTGTATGTATACTTTGTACCTGATATTCCATCTACCTGAATGAGTAAATTCATGATTTTAATGCCTGGAAAGATTAATGGTGAAAACATAGCAATGAAAAGTTGTTTCTATATACTATGACTGTGAAATACAATAGCCAAACCATTGGAATATTGCTTTTACTTTTTGTCCTAATGACACACTGTTAGAAAATCATGTATGTGAGTGGATCTGATCTGAAAATAATTTTGTCAGACACTTCATTATCAAAATCTCTAGTAAAAAATGATTATAGCTCTGGCAGACTATTAGACATTTGCTGAATAAGGCTCTTTCATGACATTGTGATGTACATTTATATCCAGTAAGAATCATCATAATATTTGCCCCCTATTCATGAAAAACATATTTAATCAACTGTTTAACAATGTAAGGTATAGATTAGTATTTTAATTTTATTATGATTTCTTGAGTTTTTATTCTCATGACTGAAGACGTGCATATTTTGTTGAGATGAAAACCCATTTGCCCAAAATTCAGATTGGCAAGAATTCATTTTACCTAATAGCGGGATAAATAGTGTAAAGTAATCGCCGTTTGCGGAACAAATCGTGAAACTTTCCTCAAATGATCACTGATTGCTACTCTTTAAATAAAGCAACTGTGCCAAAAAATCGCTCCATAGGAACTGCCCTAATTTTACAATTCTTACCCCCCCCCATGGTCACGGAGGGGGGGGTGCATAAAAAAATTTTGACACAATTTTTTTTACTAAATTATGCTTAAACTTCAAATTTAGTATCACCTTATCATGTTAAGAAGTTAATGTTGAACTAAAAATATGAAATACCATTGATTTTCAATTGCTATGTTAAAGGGTGGTGATGGGCGACGCCCACTTTTCTTGTATTGAATATTTTGCACCATATCACAGTTGCAGGAGTAAATCAAATAAGTGATATATGATTGTAAAATTACATCAATATCTAATGGTTCACATGACTATTATTTTTCACCTTTTTCACTCTTAAAGGCTTGTTTTGAGTCACACCCATCTTTTAGACATACAGAAAAAATAGAAGATACGGTTTGACTTGTGGTTTTTTGGGCTTCCAAGGGCAGTAAGACTCACTTGCATCGTGTTGATATGCATTGGTTTTTGCAGCTACACTTTATGTGAGCCTGGCAAGCGTCTGATGCTTGAGGTAAAGTCGTCCACCTTGGTATCCATTTGATGTCTTCAAATATCCAGCCCCACTCAGCTGGGGAAGGAACTTGAGGATTCGCTGTAAGTGCTTGCCCCCAAATAAATACAGCTTGGTATATGACTCTCTTCATATGCTGTAACAGGGCTTCTGATGTTGGAGGAATGTGTGATATTATTGAAGTCCTCTTTGTGAACATCTCCTTCCTCGCAGCATTGATTGATGTTTCATTGCTTGTTTTGTTGTAGACCAGAATAATAAACCGCTGTAAAATAAGCATGGCATCAAGCAGGGTATTGGGTCGTATGGAGATTTCTTTTAATACTGTAGTCAATTCAGGGTAGGTACTCCATTGGTTCCAGGCTGATGTCTTAAACTTTCCATTAAATCCTGATGTGGTGTCACATCCAGTCATAGCATGGAATATTGGGAAACATATAGCTTTCTGAGGAGTCATTTCATGGGCAATTTCGTGGGCTGGAAGGTATCTATAGGACTTTCCCTTGCCAAAGGCGAGCCAGATTTGAATGTTAAGTTGTGCAGCTATACTAACTGCCAGAACAACAATGTCTGAATCAACTGTTCTAATCATCATTTTTGTGAAGCCTTATTCATTACATCATATATGTGCAGAAAGATTCAGGAATCTGCCTTTTCATGGGATGATGGTGAAATCTCAGAAACATGCTGCTTAGGATATGCCTCTGCAGTATTCCCAATTGTTGTAATCAGGATTTTATATTCTCTGGTACTGGAATGGCTGAGACATTTGATGCAAGGAAAGTAAAGAGATCACTTTTGTTGTCATCCGAGCATAGAAATTCTGGCCAATTCCCTGGCAATTTGTTTACTGGATAAACTATTTGACGCTTTCCAGATCCACGCTTTTTTCTTGTTGAAGATTTGAGACTATTTGGTATATATTAATCCCATACAATATCAAGTCTTTGTACTTTATTAAGTTGATATGCAACATACTTATTAAATATGTCATCTGAAAATTGTAGGAAGGTTCTTGCTTCTTGAGTTTTCAGCAGGTGGACTATTATGGCACCATCAAGAAACATGGCTTCAACATCTGGTGTATTGATCTCTCTATTTGTAACAAGGTCTTCCACTGGTTTTAAGATATCTGCTTTGAGTCCAGTCTTGATTGTGCCATCTTGTGAAAGGGATGGAGGGAATGCCTGGTTCTCATGTCAGAAAAATTCATCTAAGTTGCCGTCTCTATTCTGGCACGCTATGTATAGTTGTGAAAATAGGGCAGTGTCATTTTTCAAGCTTGCTAGCTTTGAACTTGAGTTAGATTTCTTCTTTTGTTGTTTGAAAATCTTGAAATTGTTTCTCTTGATAGGGTCTGTGATGGCTTTTGATCTTTCAATAATTCTCTCCTTTATATATACTTCACATTGACTTTTCCCTTTTTCCTCAATTGTGTTCAATGTGTCAACAGCACTGTTTGACATTACATCTTTAGTATCAAGTGTCCAAAGTTCCTTTGATGTTGGAATAAAGGGGTTTCCTAAATCATTGATAACCTCAGTAAGGGAATTGACATCTTTCTTGAAACTGGTTTGATAACTAACACTGTGCTCATAGTTTGCAAGGACTTCATCATCATTATCCTTCATCTCATCCTCAAACTCAGTTAACATTATTGCCATCTTTGGACCACCGACCATCCACTTCTGTAATGCGGTTAGATTGTCTAAACCCCACAGCTCCACCCTCACTTTTGATCACACTATTATTTAGCTCATGGGCTTGGTAATTGGAGTACCATGTACCAGAATTTGAATATAGGCAACCCTGTTTCTTAACTCTGCTGGGTATCTATCCAAGATTCAAAATCAAGAGACAAAATTGAATTGATTGGCAATCTACCTGAAATCTACCCAAGTAACAAGAACTGTATTGTATTGATTGGCAATCTACCTGAAATCTACCCAAGTAACAAGACCCCCCCCCCCCCGAACACACACAACACTCCTTCTTAATTCAAAACTGCCCTTATTAGATCAACAATATCATATTTTCAAACATAACTCAGTTCAGCAAAATAAGCAGAACTACTTCTTGATTATTTTTATCAATCATTTAGGTCAAAATCATACAAGGGTTCATCCAAAAGTCTTGGACTACCTGCTCTAATTTTGTTGGTTTTTGATAAAATTACTTTAAACTTTCCAATAATAAAGTCCAACAGTCTAACTACTTTGTGTATTAATTTCATGGAGAAAGGATATATTTTATGTAGTTTTCTAGATAGTTGTTAATATAGGGACCTTGCCACCCGGAACAGTATTCGCACATGGCAACTTTCAGCCTCAAATGTTGCCGCCATTTCACTTGTTTCTGCTGAAATGCAGAACATGAAAGAAATCAAAGTAGAACAAAGAAAACGACAAGATATTTTCACTATTATTGAACTTGAGCAGCTACCATATGCACGATACAGCCTAGCCTCCGTGTGATTTTCCCTCTTTTCTCCAAGTTGAAAAGGAGGGTTGAAAGAAAATATTTTTTACTCATTGGATGAGATTTAGAGTGGCACTCCAGCAGCATTTGTATAACATAAGCAATGGCGGTTTCATAAATGTCTTCCATTCATTGGTAAAGCGGTATGAAAAATGTGTTCAAATTCGTGGAAAATATGTTGAAAAGTAGGTCTTAATACGTGAATATGATGATGGCAGATGACACTCAGACTGAAAATTGGAAATTCTCTCATATCATGACTGATGTTAGGTTGCGCATCTGCACCTAAAGTATTTGCCATATTATAACAGTTGTGACGTAATTTGCTATATTTAAATACCATTCTGTGTGGCCGGGACCCAGTATTAAGAATTATTTGGAAAAGTAGCTAAAATATATCATTTTCTGTTGAAACTTATACACAAAGTTGTTAAGATGTTGATCTTTATTATCTGAAAATGTCATGTAATTATATTAGAAAATAGCAAAGTTAGAGCGGGGCGTCCAAGACTTTTGGATCACCCCTCGTACTTACAAAAACTGATCTAGATTCTATCCTAAACGTTGATGCTCATTGTCACTCAAGCATGACCTTGTCAAAAACAAGAAGTGATTTTGGTAGTTGTTATAGTAAGAAAGATACACTTTTTGCTAGATTATTCTGTATTTGGATTCAAGTCACTCATCAGATGTCACATAGTTTGTCAAACTTTATTTTCAATTAAAATTACAATGTTTATCATGTCGAAGTATATGCCACTCTGGCAAAGAGATAAAAGGAATTATTAAAGATAAGTAGATATTCATTTTACTAAAAATTGACTGCAATCTCAATCATTATCATGTGTATCATGGTAGAAGGTCCCAACATTGAAATTATGATACTATTTAATGATCATCCTAAAATGTTATGGCTGGTCATTAAGCCTACCCCTATAAATTTTAGGGGTAGGGGTAAAAATTGCGAAAAGTCGATAAAAAATGGAGGAAATTTTCAGCACAGTTGCTTTTTACACCCAGGAAGGTTGCCTGGTCATATCTGGAAAGTTCCACGATTTGTTCCGTTTTCGGCGCTTTCACCCTTTTTTATGTCACTATTTATCTCGCTATAAATCAATGACTTTTGGAGAAATGTTATTTCATCACCTATGATGATTAGGCATTTCTTTAAGATTATATAATCACTTCTCATAACAGTCTACGCTCACATCATTCATATTTACCATTCATATTTTTTATTTAGTTTCATTCATGGATCACTATTTTCCTTGAAGAATTGATAAATATTCCTTCAATGTTAACCACAAAATTAGCACTAGGCCTATGTTTGTCAAAAATATGAATGGATTACAACAGAGAGGCATCATAAGGCAGCAAGAGGTGAACAAAAGAACTGTCTCTAAGACAAATAATACCTTGTAAAAGCATGAAAGATACCAGGTAAAAGAGATAGCTGTCCCTTTAAAAAATCTGCCAGGAATGACCAAATGCTCATGAGCTTGGTGACCTCCATTAAGGCATTAATTTTGTAAGTCAGCCAAGGGGATGAAGCAAATACCATATTGAAAGCTCAATATCATGGGTATAACCATCAATAGATGTAAATTCAGTCAGGAGTTGTATAAAGAGACCCTTGAGTAAACCAAAACCAATACAGCCGTCCAAGCAGGGACAAATCTTGACTGATTTATGATTCACAGCCATGCAGGGATGAACGCATATCACACAGAGAAAGATGAATCCGCTTGCCAAAGGCATGTCCAGATGAACCAATGCCTCAGTCAGTCCAAAGGGAACATATTTATGATTTATTGATATATCAATTGAGAAAAATTAGCGGAACAATTCTTACTTCAAACTCAGCAATATTGCTCCATTGAAAAAGATGGACAGTGTATTTCAATTTTCTAGTTAGGAGTATCATCTATGGTACACTTTACTAGATGATTAATATGGACTTAATGGTGTATTCTTATATATTTCAAGTCTTACAGGTTCTAACAGTGTGCTTAAAACTGGAAGAAATCTATTGAACTGACTTACCAAAGCTATATGTTCAGGAAACTCCTTTACTCTCTGAAAGACTCTTTCAACAAGTGACTGATTTTCAGGAATTGTGACATCAGGATATGGACACTTCACTATGTTATTTGTATCTGCCATCCTCGGAAATTGAATCTTTATCATGTAATGTGATATTGAGTGAATTGAGCTTTATGTATCTGCTCTCTTATATCAACTATATCTTATTCATGACCTTGTAAAGTTGCATCTTTTATTCTTCAAGTTTATGAGATGCTTTCATATCTTGCAAATAAGTACACTTTGAGTTCTATAGCTACATAATTCACACTGTGAGAAGATTATTTATTAACTACATGTTTAAACAATTACCAGTAGTGTAGTGGATGTAAGAAAGGTCAAAGGGCAACATCACAAGTACAAAGTCAATCAATCTTCTCTAACTGAGATGACATAGAGAAACAAACTAAGTTTGTTTTTGTTTGAATGGTTGACTCGCATTTGATATATTGCATGAATAAAACTTACCGACACATTTTTATTCATATATAAGGCAAACAATAGATTTAAAGTAAAAAAAGTTCAATATATCCCACATTATTTAGAAACATATTTAAATAAGGCAATATGTAACCATATTTGTTGAAATATATTGCCAATGGTATGAAAACATGTAACCTTGATCAATAGAGGCTACAAACATAAATAATGTTATCTTTATTCATATTCATGTGTATCTAAAAAATGACTAAAAGTTAGGAAAGCCTTAATATATTCCCACAATGTTAAATTCAGAAATGAATTTGTCCGCAGAAAGGTTCAGCTCATATTCAGTGTATATGTAAAAGAATGCCTTCGGTCATTTCTTTGATGTGATTGTTGTTTTTAAGAAAGTTTAACTTTGGATATTGTCTTGTTTAGAAACTATCAATTTCTCTTGTGATATTTCCATCATGATTTTGCTCTGGGCATGTTCCATGTTTTGTTACTATCCTGTTTCCTGTTCATAATGATGCCAAGTGATTGGGAAACTGATAGTTTGATTCATTCATTAAAAGTATCCTGTCAGATGCTGGCCATTCATTCTGCCTTATATAACTTGCATTGAATCATTGTAGATCACCCCCACTGTGCTTCTTCATGTAGTTGTGTATGCATGCACTGAGTGTTAATTGAAAAGACTCTTCTTAATATATACTTTAGTTTTTGCATAAAAGGATTTTGTTCTGAGGGGGAGGGTAAGGATACATCATACATGTGATTAATTATATTTTTGTCGATGAATGCTGACTCGACCTTTTTGTGAATTTGTTGCTATGTTGTTGATGTTTATAGACCAGTGATGTCACAAGTAAATCTCATCTTACACATGTGACTTTTTAGGCTGAAAGATGCCAATATCTTGCATGGGGTAAAAATGGCTGTATCTTGGCTAGGCATATGAGAAAAAGTAATCCGTTTATAATTATTCTGAAAACATTATTGATAGAGAGATAGTTCAGAGAATGCATATACAACAGCCAATATAAATCCTTGTATTAGAACTGCTATGTTTCATTTGGAGGATATTTCATAAGCCAAGCTGTGTTCTGATACATTATGGGGAAATTTATAATGTCAATTTTTCCTTACTATACACAAGTAGAAGATCCTGAAACTTCACCCATAAATATGAAATTGATTTGTCAAAATAAAAATCTCCCTTTTATAAATGTGTGACGGTCTATATTATACTAATGCTATATAACAGTGAGAGGTGTTGACACAATGACCTTGAGCTGTGACCCCCATAGTATTATGCCGGGATCAGCTAGCCTTTTAACAGTGAGCTACACTAGAAACAATTGTTCGATTTACTAAACGATATGTGTCACCCCGGGGGGTTCACTATATATAAACCTTGACGGGGATCCTCGGCGCATGTGGGGTACCTTTTTATTATGTCCCCACCACATAGTGTGGGGCCATATTGTCGGCCTAGGCGCGTCCGTCTGTCTGTCCGTCTGTCTGTCCGTCCGTACGTCCGGCAGTTTTCTCCAAAACCGCTACAGATATCACCTTCAAATTTTCAGGGATAACTTATGAGTGCATACAGATGTGGATGAAAAAAAATTATCTCGATACCTACTTCCTGTCGGCCATTTTGAAGTCAAATGCTAAAATCCTTGTCTGCAAACTTTAAGAAAAACGGCTTCACAGTTGCTTTTAAAACTTTAACATCTTGTTCAGCTCACTTCATTCTAGATCTTATTAGGTTTTAGACCTGTTAGCTCAGTCATGTCAGCCATTTTTAATGTTTTAAGAAAAGTTTGCGCACGATAATACTTTGTATCATATTGAATGGTGTTTTTCAGTTTTCATACTTTAACTATTTAGTAGCTTTATAAATAATTTCAGGTGTACTTTGTTGTAAAAGCCTATGTTATTGTTAACAGTAGTTATATGTGATAATTTTGTAAAAAGAAATCAGCAAAAACTCATAATCACTTTTTTATTGTCGGCCATTTTGGATTTTTCTGTCCTAAAATCTTGTCTGTAAAGTCTTGTCTACGCGTTTTCAGGTGAACCGTTTGGTAGATCAATTTCAAATTTTCAGGGATGATTCTTAGTATGAAAATCTAGATCTGATTAGTTTTTATGCATTCTGGATGAATGTCAAGGCAGCCATTTTGGATTTTCCATCTTAAAATCTTGCCCGTAAAGTCTTGTCTACGTGTTTTTAGGTGAACCGTTTGGTAGATCAATTTCAAATTTTCAGGGATGATTCTTAGTATGAAAATCTAGATCTGATTAGTTTTTGGGCATTCTGGGTAAATGTCAAGGCAGCCATTTTGGATTTTCTGTCCTAAAATCTTGTTTGTAAAGTCTTGTCTACGGATTTCCAGGTGAACCGTTTGGTAGATCAATTTCAAATTTTCAGGGATGATTCTTAGTATGAAAATCTAGAACAGATTAGTTTTTTGGCATTCTGGATAAATGTCAAGGCAGCCATTTTGGATTTTCTGTCCTCAAATCCTGTCTGTAAAGTCTTGTTTACATGTTTTCTGGTTAACTGTGTCACGGATCAATTTCACATTTTCAGGGGTGTTTCTTAATATGAAAATCTAGAACTGACTAATTTTTGGGCATTCTGGGTAAATTTTAAGGTGGCCATTTTGGATTTTCCGTCCTCAAATTGTGTCGGTAAAGTCTTGTCTACTCATTTTTTTTAGGATAACCATTTGACGGGATCACCCATAGGTGTGGACATTTTGTACACATTTGTGTTCTTGTTCAACGTTTGGTATGGTAATGGACCCATATTTTAGGATTTGGTATGGGAATGCCCGGAAATTTCTGACTTCTGAGGTATGGCAATGGTCGGACTTTTGCTCTTCTGGTATGAGAATGGTCGTTGTAGATACGTTACCTAACATTCGTGGTATTATATTACTGAAAAGGGGCGTGGCACTTCTTGAGAAAGAGTTGATGTTAATCATTTCAAAGTACAATAACTTCCACAGTTTTGGGAATTGAAAGCTGTAAGTGGTACCAAAATGGAGCTATTATAATATACTTATAAAAATGCAATAATTAAGCAAATTTTCCCATTTGCATAATATGTGACAACCTCTATCATTTTTGGCTTTTTTCAAAGGTAACGACCAACATCTCTCCTCTGGGTAATGTCTTGGTTATTCATGAGCATTTATGCTTTTGAATATATAGGCACATTAATCTTATTAACATATTTGCAATTGAAATTTTGGAAAAACTTTGTAAGAAATTAAGTGTTGACACTTCACACGATTATGTAACTGAAAAGGGGGGGGGGTGGTACTTGTTGTTCAAAATGTTAACTTCTAAACACTAATGTCAACTTCAAAGGCTGGAGCTGCTCTAGCAGAGTCATGTAGATAGAGTCCGATGTTGCTTATTGGTGAAATGTTGGCCAAATTTTGCAGCTAGTGTGCACTGCTTACAAGTACATGAAGTGATCATTATGATAATGTAATTCCAATATGACAGCACAATACAAGTCAGGCTACTTTATTGTCACATATGCAAAAGTCGATCTGATGAGACATGTTAGAAGTGGTAGTGGTTAATAATGCCCAGATCAAAGAAACACAAAATATATTGAAGATAGGCCCAGATAAAAGTATGGTCATCCTCAGCCTCAATTATGACGCCATCTGTAATGTATCAGTGGGAGCTGTAACCCAAATACTTTATGATTTATGACTTTATGAGTTTATGATTTAATGTATGTGTCATTCAGTTGCCATGCACTTGGTGCAGTTGGCGGTTTCTTCCTTGCCCCAAAGTCTGAGGTTTGATGGAGTTGAGACGTGGTCAGGGAAAGCTCATATAAGAAATTGAGCCCCCCTTGGTCCATGGACCAAAGGTCATTCCATTTCAAGAAGTGCTGGGGTGCAGGTTCCAAGGTAATGTCGTAAATCTGGAAAGGCCACTGAAATTGGGGAGTTATGTCATAACACCCCGATATATGACTTGAGTCAATGGCTTTAAGCCACTTGTCCAGGTCCCTTGAGACTTCAGCTGTATTGTTCAAATCCCGTAAGGTTTTGTCATAGTTCTTCACTAGACATTTGATTCTTTTATCTTGCACTGTTATTTGCTTGCCCTTTATTTGAACTCTATTGGAGAAAGCTTGCCGTCAACCAAAACCATGCTTCTTGACCTGGTTGGTTTTTAACTACATGAAAGTCCAGTTTGCCATTCTTTCCATAGTTAATAGAACCCATCTGGTACCCACTACTGAACTGGTCATAAATGAGATGTCATCCATGAAAGCTCTGTATGGTAGGTGTTTTGCACCTTCATTTGCTTGTGGAACCTTACACTGCATCATCCCTGCCTTGAGCAGTAAGTTCATGGATGTTACGAAGAGAACTACTGATACGGTGCAGTCTGCCACTATGCCTTTCTCCGAACTCTGCTAATTAGTGGTACAATTGCCAAATGTATTGTGCAACTTCAAGGAGTTTGTGTGTCCAATTGTCAGATTGACTACATCTGTTGGTTTTGGTACGTGAAAGTGAACTTGTACCTCTAGTATCAGTTGGTGGGGGACACTAAGTAGGCCTTAGGTCCAGCCAAACTACTGATTCTCTTTCTTGGCTTCCTTCACAAGTTGGCTTATTGCTGCTATATGCACCCTTTATGTCTTGGGATACCACTTTTCTGAAATAGCTGCGAGGCTTGACCACGATGGTGCAGAAGATCTTTCCCTCAGCATCCAATAATGATGTCTACCTGAACTGGTTCAGTCCCTCAAATTTTAGCTCAATCGGAATGAAGCACCTTTCCGCCAAA